GCGCTCGCGGACCGCACCGCCCAGGTCCAGGGTGAAGTTTCCGGGCCCACCCCGCCCGGCCCCGCCCAGCCCCGCCCGGCCCCGCCCAGCCTCGCTCTGCCCCGCCCAACCTCGCTCTGCCCCGCCCTCCGCACTTGCAGCTCCCGGCCTGTCGCTCGCCCCGGTTTCGGAGCATCTCCATGAGCCACCCTGCCCCCGCGTCATCCGTTTCCCGTGGGACCTCCACTTTCTGGCAGTCACTTGCGGCCATCTGTTGTTCCCCGTGGCGGTCACGTCGCTGTGGCGCCCGCCCAGAGTGGAACCGGAGCGCGAGAGGGGACCCTGGTTGCGCAAGCCCTCAAATACCTGCAGACGCCTGCGACATCCCCAGAAATAAGTAGAAAAAGGAATCCGCAAGTCCTCATTTTTAAAAAAAACCTCTAAACCTTGACCATAGGACCTAACAGGAGCTCAGACTAAATCAGAAGAAAGCCTCATTCCCGGCCGAGCGCGGTGGCTCAAGCCTGTAATCCCAGCACTTTGGGAGGCCAAGGTGAAAGCATCGTGGGTTCCAGACCAGTCCGGGCAACACGGTGAGACCTCATCTCTACAATAAATCAAAAACTTAGCCGGGCGTGGTAGCGCGCCTGTTCCAGCAACTTGGAAGGCTGAGGCGGAAGAATTGTCAGAGCCCAGCAGGTCGACGCAGGGGTGGCTGTGAGCCTGCCACTGCACTCCAGCCTTGGTGAGGAAGTGAGACTCTAATTCAAAGGAAAAAAAAAACCCCGTTCCCAGGGACACAAAGTTGTCAATATGTAAATTCTTCACAGGTCAGTTTGTAGAGTAATGTAATCTCAAAATGTCAACAAAATTTTTGAAAGAACTTGATAAACTGATCCTAAAGTCAGTCATCTGGAAGAGATAATCCACAATAGTTAAAAAAAAAAAAAAAAAACTAAGCCGGGCACAGTGGCTCATGCATGTAATCCTAGCACTTTCCAAGGCTGAGAAGGAAAGATTGCCTGAGCTCAAGTTTGAGACCAGCTTGTACAACATGGCTAGACCTTGTCTCTATAATAAACCAAAAACAAAACAAACAAAAAAAAACTTAGCTGGGCATGGTGGCATGTCCCTGTAGTCCCAGCTACTTGGAAAGGTGAGGCGGAAGGATTGCCTGAGACCAGCAGTAGGCTGTGGTAACTGTAATCATGCCACTGTACTCCAGCCTGACAACAGAGTGAGACTCCAACTTAAAAAAAAAAAAAATCTAAAAGAAGAGAAAACTCAATGAGGGGAGATTTGCCCTTCTGCATATCAAAAAGTTACATCAAATTATAGCCATTAAGGCCAAGTAGTATTTCTAAAGGAACAAGTGGAATGAATCCAAGAGTTCAGAAACAAACCCATTATATGGGAAATGTAGGGACCTCAAATCATTGAGGGAAAGATAGACTCTTCTATAAGGGTGGAATTTCCAGTAGAGGAGAAAACAGGTAAAATGAATCCCAGATTCACACTGTTCTAAAGTGAAATTTCAAGCGGCATTCAGAGCCAACAGTAAAACCAAAAACACAAGACTATTGGAATCAAATACAAAAGGATATTTTACATTTCCATTAAATATCTGTGATGGGGATTCGCGGGCATCTGAGCACCTTCCGCGGCCTGAAGCCTCCACCCCTCCCGCCACTGCCAGCACCTGCCCCATCATCCCCACTGCCAGGCATGGATGGGTCCTGAGAACAGGAAAAACCACCTGGAGTCTGAGGCCAGGATTTATCTGCTTTGAAAGGCCTAAGTTAGTGGTTTTTCTCCTTTTTTGTTTTTTAGTAAAACATTTCAAGCATTCCTAAAAGTATGAAGTAAATAAAGCTGCACCAAAGTGTATCATTTTCCCATATTTGCTAATTGGTTCTACTCTTAGTTTGTGGAGGGTTTTTTTTGTTTGTTTGTTTTGCTTTGTGGAGAGGGTTCTGCAGTATTGTTGGAAAACAGCCCCTGAGTCTTTGCAAAACCAATTCACTTCCTTCCCTGCCCAGAGGTAACCATTACCTCACCCTGGGTGACCATCAATGCCAAACAGGTTTTGTGCTGTCCATAAACAATGTGCACTATTGCTTTGCATGTTTAAAAATTATGTATAACCTCACACCTAACCTTCTACCACTTGTCTTTTTCCCATCTATTTTTCTGAGATTTATTTACATTGAGACATTCCTTTCTGCTAAAAGAATGAAGCCAAATTTGTTTTTTGTCTTTCTTTTTTTTAGAGGCAAAGTCATGCTATGTTGCTCAAGCTGGTAGCTCCTGGGCTTAAGTGATTCTCCACCTCAGCCTCTTGAGTAGCTGGGACAACAGGCATGAATACCACATCTGACTAACTTTTTGCTTTTTGTAGAGACCAGGTCTGTGTTGCCTGGGCTGGTCTCAAACTCCTGGACTCAAATGATCCTCCCACCCTGGCCTCCCAAAGTGCTGGGATTATAAGCATGAACTGCTGCGCCCCACCTGCAATGAACATTTTTATCCATGTGCCCCTGTGATGAGGGGGCCATCCCTGAGTGTGGGGTATGCATACTTTCAACTCTACTAGATATTACCAAATTGATCTCCAAAGTTGTTGTATGAAATTGCAATCCTATAGTCCAATCTTGCTCCATTTTTTGACCAACTCTTAGTGTATTAGTTGTCTATTGCTGCAAAGCAAATTATCCCAAAATGTAACAGCTTAAAATGACAAGCATTTACTATCGCAGATGGTTTCTGAGGGTCAGGGATCTGGAAGAGGCTTGGGGAACAGTTCTGGCTTAGGAAGTGGCAGTCAATTTGTCAACCAGGACTACAGTCACCTGAAGTCTTGGATGCAACTGGAATGTCCACTCTGAAGCTTACTCAAGTGGCTGTGGGTGGTGGCCTCCCATCCTCTCCAGACAGCTACCTGAGCCTCCTACCATCATGGCAGCTGGCTTCCGCAGAGCCAGCAGCTGCTGTGCCTTCTATGACTCACCTTCCCTCTTTTCCAACAACTCTGTAAGAAGCAAGTCACTATATCCAGCCACATTCATGGGATAGAAGCCCAAACTCCTGCAGGAAGGAGGGTGCAGGACACATTTTAAGCATCCTGACCACATGCTTTATCCCACTCGGATGACTACACATGGTCATTGAACTTCCTGGGGTCTCTGATGACAGAAGGCCTGCTGCAGACTTTGGGGACGGGGGCCAGCGTCAGGATAACCACTCCTAGCTAGAAGGAGGGAGGACATGTGCGATGCAGGAGGAGCTTGAGAGCATATCACTGCCTGGCCAGTGTGAGGGAATGTTCCAGAAGAGACTTGAAGCAGTCAGGAGAACCAGAACAGCCCAAAAGGCAAGGCAGCAGGAGGAGAGACGAGAGCAGACAGCTGGGCATTGGTACTGTCTCTGACTCTCTGTCTCTCTGCCTGTCTTGTCTCTCTGCTTGCCTGTCTCTCTGCCTGTCCCTCTGCCCATCTGTCTCTCTGTCTCTTGACCTGTTTCTTTGCCTATCTGTCTGTTAGCCTCTTTGTCTCTTGGCCTGTCTCTCTGCCTGCCTCTCTATCTCTTTCTGTCTCTGTCTCCCTCTCTGTCTCTCTCTGTCTCCCTCCCTATTTTTTGATAACTGTCATCTGGATAAGAGACAAAAGGGGTGAGCTGGAACAGTATGGAGTGGGACTCCCCTTTCCCCGAAGCCCCAGAGTTGGAACAGTGGACTTTCCGTTTTCCAGCCTTGGAGAGGGGCTGCTCCCTAGCTTGCTGCAGCACCCCAGGTACCTCCCCCGCTGTCCAGACAGAGATAGGCAGAGGTGCGTCGGCCTGTGCTGTAGTTCTTGGGAAAAGGGCAGGCTTTGGCTTTTGTCTTCCTGTCCCACCAGAAGGGACTGGGTGTTCTCCCAGCCTGGCCTTGTGAGGGGTGCCCCAGGGAGCCGCACTGGAAAAAGGGGCCTGGGGGGGAGCCTGCCTACTGGGCCTCGGTCGGGGACTCACCATGCTGGAGAAATCCTCAGCACCCACAAGAGAGGGCAAAGGTGCATCATGGGGTGCGCTGGGGAGACTGAGGCCCAGCTGGGGCACAGCAGGTGCAGCTGGAGGGCTGGAGGAAGAAAAGGCCCAAGGAATAGCCTGCGAGGCTGGAGCCCACATGGAGTTGTCGGTTGGTGCTCATCTGCTTTCAGCATGTTCAAGATATCGTCCCATCATCTTCGGTCCTTTCTGTGGTAAAGTCTACCCTGTGTCTTTCTGTTGTACTTTGGGGATAATGTGTCACTTTTACCCTGGATGCTTTTTTTGTTTGTTTTTGTAAAGACGGAGTTTCACTACATTGCCCAGGCTGATCTT